CAAGCTTCTAAAGATTACAACAAGTCAGGGGAGAGGACTCCATTCAAAAACACAAACTTTTTGGTTACCTGGTGTAGAACTATGTTTGTTAGAGGCATCCTCACCTCCATGCATGTTATAAATACGCCTTGACCAACTTCGGTTGTAAATCTGATCAGCGAAATAACTGCTGGCTTCGCACATAATCGTATAGGGTAACAAAAGCCTGAAACAGCCATAAATATCTCAGCCTAAGGGATAATGCGGTCTTTACATTATGCGTGTTCATCGCGCATGCATTAAGTAATGTGACTCTCTTGCCCCTAAACAGTACAAATGGACAGGCTTAATTCTTATTAAGCGACTTTAAAATAGGGCAGTCATGAGTAAATGGTGTATTTATTGTTCAGTAATAATGTTTCTATAACAGATAAGGGTCAAGAGGATGCACACGGAGTACCGCAGTACACATTGAGTCGACAAATACTACCTTTCCGAAATTGACTGACGAAGTCAATTTAAAATAAATCTGCTATACTAAGCAAGTACAGTACAGTCCCACTGGTTTCTATGCTATTTTTTTAAAAATAAAAACCACTACCCTTACTGGGCATACGTATTTCAGGGAATCGAAAACTTCCTTAGGTTTAGCTTTTCATGTGAATAAGAATGATAATTTGCACTCCTATTTGGCTTAATGAATACAATTTTCCACAAAGTTATTTATGAACAGTCGTGACGTCATCAGCGGATCTTATTTAAAAGGCAACATTGCAAAGAAAATGCAATAATATTTTATTTTGGGCAAAAGCGGAGCCACAGATGTGCTTTTGGGCCACGCCTTTTTTAACCGCATGTCTCGTAAGTCCGTGGAGAGCTGCATGGGCAGTCAGACATTCCGGCTGTTGCCAAAAGAATACCTAATCAAAATGGACTTAAAGTACGTGAGGAGTTAAAAAATAGCGGTTATAATTAGGCCGGACGGAAGGAAAACCACCTAATTAAAATGGAGATTCCTTCACGAAAACTATGTAAATCAGATAAGAGACAAGTGCTTACTAAAAAGCTAGACTATCGTAACTCCTACAACAAGATAATTTTTTAGTTTCCAACGTATTCGCATATCAAAATATCACGATGATTAAAAATGTTTTGAGCTTTATGAAGATATGGCCACACCGTATGGATATAATTTGCTCTTAAAATAATTATAGACCAGAAATTACAATTTCCTTGTAATCAACGTTTCCGTAGGTTGACTTCCAGACCAGTTAGTAAATGTGAAACTTTTCATTAGTAAAGTTGTTGCTTTACTTTAGGACTCGTGTCCTATCAATGATTGGGAAATCTCTACAGGGTCCCTACTTCTATTGACTGCTTTTATAAATGAAAAGGGCATTCAATGTATTCAAGAGAAAAATTAACCTGGTGTAGCCAAAACCAGCCAAGTCCTCCTGTTTAAAGTAATACACACCGCTTCCTATTACTCTTCCCGTCTCCTAGTTTGCAAGTCAACTGATATAAGGAAATCTTAAAATAACCTTTACAAGTTCTTTATAAAAAGTGAAAAGTCTGTGCTTTTTGACCACCAATGCGTTATTTAAGTAGCTCTTAGCACTCCTCTTAACGAGCACATGACGCTTCCAGTAAAATTAGTTCCGAGGTCACTGTTTAACTAAAAACCATATTTTTAAAAGATTTTTATAGGACATCCAGCTCAAATCCCCAGTGCACCTCATTTTTTAGGGCGCAATAACCTCGCTAAACACCAAATTAGAGTCATGGTTTTCTGCGAGATGCAGAACATAAAAACATCCTCTTAGTAACCGTATTTACCTAAGAGATGCCGCCCCAAAAATTCCTCTGTACAAAAGTAACTTAAATCAAAATTTAGAATGAAATTGTTAAAAAGAACACTTGTGAAAACTTCCGTACAAATTTATGCTGATCCTAGGAAGAGAAAGGACTGACTTTAGATTTCATTAGCTGACTGCCCATACGACCTAAACAACAAATTGAAATTCTGAACAAAGCCTGACCTCTATTCTTAAAATTCAATTTATAAAGTGGATGAGTAGACTTTTGCATTGCCTAACTTTAAGTCTATTAAGGCTTCCAGAGGAATATTCAGTGATCCAGAACAACTAAATTATTCAAAAGACAGCAAAGCCTCTGCGGTTGTTCTAAAATATCCATGCCACATTAGAGCGAATTTCTGAAATTGGGCCGCTGTATTTAAGCCCTAAATTTGTGCATCCAGACCTATTTCCTCGTTGCATTAGATGACTTCCATTTAATTTACATTCTAATTTTACTAAACTTGAGGAAATAAACCTTCCTTAGGGGAGTACATGTTAATCACAGGGCATCTTCATTACAAGCACAGACGGAAATTATGCCCATCAACTTGCGATGGTAAAACTGACAGATGTGCAGCCCTAATCATCCACCAAGCTTGGTTTTTCCCATTTTAGATATTCCTTGCGTTCAAGAGATCATTTAACAATAGTCTCCGTTTGAATCACCCAAGCATGGCGAAAAATCGTTCTAGCGTTAATATCAAGTAATGTGGTTATTTCACCTTGGAGGCGAATAATCAAATTAGGCAAGAGGAAAACTCGACCGTCCATGAGTTTATTACTTTCACACCATTCCGACACATTGCATTCCAGTTTCAATCATTGTGTAGTCTCTATGAGAGAAAATAAGCAGATTTCTTACATATTGCATATTTATTAATGTGGTGAAAGCATCATTAAAGTGCAAAAACCTTTGGAACTCAAAACACTTTCCTAAAGTGGTGGATGTGATAAGAACTTGCTAAGAGCGACAGGCACGGATTTCCAGTAGGCAGGCTAGTGCTTGTCATTTAGGCGCATAGAATAAACGTGGTACGTTCGACTGGCCAACGGTAAGGAAGCAGGTCTGCCATAACAGACAAGGCAGTCTCATAATGGGCCAAATTATTGCCGGGGTCGGAAAATGTCATTCACATCCTACGCTCGTGCTGATCATGCATACCAACGGAAGGG